TATAAAGTTACGTTTTCACAGATATAATAGAACCACATTATGTAGGAATATTAAATTACATCTGCCCTTTGTAATACCATTTAAGGGTTGGGGGATGAGTAAAATCGAAATGGGGGTGCCCACAATAAAATTTCAACAGAAGTGAGAATTAAGGTGTTAACCACCTCAACGTGATTTTGAGCATGGATTTCAATCGGACAATGACCGACGCATTGCTCAGCCGTAAGAGCTTTTTAGACCGACTGCACGATCTACCTGAGGCCAGAAGAACTTAACTCCCCCCTTTGCATGCCAAGTTTTTTTACTTAACGCTCGTTGAGTTAATTGAAGCCCTACACCCTGCATTTTTATTTTGCAAACAGCTTTCTTTTATCTGTGCGAACACCTTTGAAGCCACAATAAACAAAACTTGTTTTTAATCTGTTATCGATGTTGGTCCGGACATGGTATAAGGATGCAGAAATCGCCGCTAGCCCTTTAATATTGTACAAACAATGCCTTACTTTTTAGTTATTATTTATTTTTATTCGATGCCGAAAGTCTCATTTAACAAGTGATTTTTAAGCAAAAACAAAAACGACTTCAATTCAATATATAAAAATTTAATATTATCGTAAATTTCTTCGTGATCCGATTAAAAAAAGAATTATAGAAATAGGTTAAGATGGTCCAAAGTTAGATATAAAAACAAACAAACAAAAAATCCGACGAATTGATAACTCCTTTTTGTGAAGTCGGTTAAAAACTGAAGGCATTTTTTTTTCGTTATGACGCATACATACATATTTTTTTATTAGTTTAAATACTAAATACTTTAATGTAAAAATGCATACGTGTTAGATGTCAAATTTGTGGTCCTATTATGTATGGCGACTGGAGTCTAGTTGCTGGTCAGAGCTACCAGTATCGTATTATTATTATGTATAGCGGTTAACCTCAGAATACAGAAAGCGCAGACAACATCCAAATTAACTTCCTTGACATATACATTTAGAAGTAATTTCAATTTTGCTCCAATGTGTTTAAAAATTTATGTAAACAAATAACAAAATCGTCATAAATCGGAAACAGAAAATTACAACATAGAATAATAGTAATGTTGGAATTGTAATATATTATTTGATTATTTGTAGGGTTGCATTTTATAATTAGTTTATGTCATTACAGCGTCTGAATGTCGTTTTTTATTTTAATTTGGTCGTAAATGAAATTATATCCCGAGATCCCGAGGCCTTGATCCCGGGCTTTCGGGACTCAAAAAAGGACTCGGGATCCCGAATGCCGATACTAGATGACTTAGTAGTTACCCATCGACTATTAGTCGCCATACATAATAGGGCCATTAGTAAATTTAGAAAACTTTAAATCTTTGCCAGAATTGTTTCGTTTGCGTGGCCGGTTAAAAATTCAAAAACAAAATTTTGACTTACAATCATATGGGTAAAATTTTGCGCAACACTGATATTATATCAAAAATTTTCATCAAAATAGTGCAAATTTAAACAATGTGTGCTATAAGTAGATATTTAAAAAAAAATGCTAACTGAAAGATGTGTGCTTTTGCCGAATTAAGCGCGTACAATTAAAACAATTTAGATTTGCATTTCATGAACAGAATACATATTTCCAAATCTGTAATATGAAGTATATACTTATGAGAATATTAAAAAAAGTGTGCAAATATTTTACACATAAATACCTCCACAATGCATTATAGTTTCATTGCTGGAAAATCCGCCGCTGGTTGTGTTTTGTTTGAATTCTTTAACTACTTTAGAATTATTTGAGAAAACGTAGATCACTAAGGGCTTCTCCCTAATTAACAAAAATGCATATACATATATTTTACTTTTTATTGGATGTAATACATATGTACATCAACAACATGAGTACTAATACATACATACATGTACATATAAAATGTAATGAGCAGATTTTCACACACCTACATATGTACATATATTAGTATGTACATATGTATATAAGTATGTATGTACATATGTGAGTGGATTTAATGGTCTGATATTGATGGCAAATTTTTTAAATTTTGGCCAAAAAAAATGAGAACCTATGTATGTACCTACATATGTATGCGCATGAGTAGATACGTATATGTTAAAAACTAGTTTGTCATAAGATCGGGTTTGGCCGGTAACATATACAAATCGTATAACGTACACGAGTAAGACTACTCTCAATTGGAAATATGATTGTAACAAAAATAAAAAAATTGTCTCTATCTCTATTTCTATCTCTTTCTCTCTACCTCTCTATCCCTCTACCTCTCTCTATCTCTATTTCTCTATCTCTCAATCTCTCTATCTCTCTATCTCTCTATTCCTCTATCCCTCTATCTCTCTATCTTTATCTTTATCTTTATCTTTATCTTTATCTTTATCTTTATCT